AAACATAATGCTAATATCTTCAATAAACACTTAGACCAAAACCAAAGAAATTTAAACAATATAAAAATAAAATCAAAAACAGATGTAGATAAATAAAAATTATGTAATTATAGAAACCCTCATAACTGTCCTCTTCAAAATAAATGTCGCACGGAATCATTAGTATACCAATGTAATATTTCATCTATTAAGAACCCCTAAAACATAAAAATCTATATAGGTTGACCAAGCCATGAATTTAAAAAGCGGTTCAATCAACATCAAACTTCATTTAGGATAGATAAGTACAGAAATCAAACATCGCTCTCAAAGTATTTCTGGCAATTAAAAGAATCAAATGAAAAACCAACAGTAAAATGGAAATTAATAATAGAAGTAAGAATATGTAGTTCATAAGATGACCCATATCCTTTGTGCATACATGAGCAACTATATATTACTAAGTTTATAAAAAATAAAAATTTGCTGAATTTGAGAAATGAAATAGCTATTTTTTTGCTCTCATTGTCAAAAAATTTCCTTAAATATTATTTAAAAATAAATTTAAAAATAAAATTAAAAAATGGGAGCTCGTAATATACATACTTATACTTGATAAGAAAAAGAATTTTTTTAAAAATAATTTTAAATAATGTAAGTAATTCTATTACATTTACTTGTTTTTAAAAAGAAATATAGTCTATTAGTAATTTAGAATAAAAAATATTTTTAAATTGTAGTTTAATAAAACGTATTTTAACACAAACACATAAAAATCTTTGAGTATACGGGAAAAAATGCCGAAAACCTTTTTGCCGTTAATAAAAAAAAACCCAGATGACATGCATTTAACAAATGTCAGAATTCATTGAAAAATAAACCTCTACCCTACCTAAACTTAACCTATTTTTCAAACGTAACTCATAAGTGATACACCAATAGTTAATAAAAATGAACACGCTACAGCCCCTGTCTGAATGATTGGATTTCTCTGTATCATTGGAAACAGTAAATTATGAATATATATGTGTGTTTAAAACTCAGTAAATTTAAAAATAAGTTATTCCAATATTCGCTTGAAGATGAAAAGGTAATAATGCTTTTAATTTAATTATATAATTAAATTAAAATTTTTAGCTTCCATTTTTGAAACATGGTTATTACCGTGTAGCGAAAAACTATATTTTAAATCAATTAATTTATAATATATATATATATATATATATATGTGTGTGTGTGTGTGTGTGTGTGTGTGTGTGTGTGTGTGTGTGAAAGAACGAAGGGTAAAATTTCAGCGTTCAAAACATTAATTTAAAACAAAGCTCAATACAAAAGTAGAGCCGTAAATATTTATCTATTATGCAGTGTTGCAATAGAACATGCACATATACACTACAAATCTGCACATCTTGTTTCAACGTGAAAATACGAAAACTTTTCTTAACGTTTCATCAGGTGGGCTATTACGATGCGACTGTTAAAACATGCACATATTCACTACATTAGATGCTTCGATATGATCATTTCTAAATAAAATAATTCAGACGCATCGTGATTCCCCACCTGATGAAACGTTAAAAAAGTTTTCGTTTAATGTGGACTTTTTTCAGGCAAAAAACGAAATGAATTTATTCGAACACAGAATGTATAAGCAACAAACAAAATGTCGTTAGCAACTAGAAGAATTTAGAAACGCTATTGTATATTCATTGAGTCAACTGAAATTTAACGTCATTTACTTCATATTTGAAGAGGATATTTTTGGTGTAGAAATATTCTTTGTAATGTATTGACAGATTCAACCATTTTCTTTTGATTTCTTGTTATATTTATTGTGTACGTTGGCTTGGGCGAGTAGTGATTCTGTTAGAAAAGATGATATTGGGAAAAAAACTGGGCGTAGATTAATATTTGTATAATATTCAATGGAGGCACTCTTGAGGATTTTCCTTCTGAGTGAACAATCTACTCCGGTCGACGAAATAAAGGGTTCAGTTCGAAATTCCAATCACCCCAGGAAGGTCGGAGCGTACAACAGCCAAAACTTCCTGAATATGAAAACAAAGATGAGGACAACAGCCCGAGCAATGCTGCAAATAATTACAATACCTCATCTCAGAAATATAGACAAATAATTTCCATGTTTAATGATCTCAGGTAATACTCGATTCTCAGTATCCCTATATGTTCCAACACCCAGTGATCCGACAAGCCCTATGGTCCGTTACTTATTTTAATCAGCCACCAATAATTTATTGTGTAGCTAGGATGGCTGCGCCATGCGTTTATTACTTTCCGCAATTTTTTCGGTCTTTATCATTTTTTATATATAGCTGCATATTTAGCCATTCAGGATATTAAGCATGTATTTTTTTTGGTGGGGGGTAGGCTGTTTTTCAGCCTTTGCATTGCATAAAATAATATAAAAAACCTTGTTTCGAAGCATTAATAATTGTTTTATTTCCTGTTTTAAGCTGTGTTCTAACTTTGATATCGCATCAATATACCGGTTGTAACAAAAGTGTCCAAAATATCCAATAGTTAGATTAAGAATTGAACCGCTATATCTTAGAAATGATTAAAGATATCTTACTTGAATTCTCCAAGGTTATTACTGTTACGGTTTTTTGGATATATAATACCTATAACTAGTGAGCGAGTCAGAATGACTTATTTCCCTTTATAGTCGACCAATAGAAGGTTGACCAATGAGAAGCCGCCCAACACTGTATTCGTCGTGTATAAAGGCGGCCATCTTGTTTCCTCTACCGGAAGGACCAAAGACGACCAGGAGAAGGATGAACTACACTCTGTTGTGATATCCACTGCGAACCTCCACTACGCTTTCCTACTGTCTCCGAAATATTCACTGCCAACCTCTGGACTCTATACTCGAGGACGACCGTCATGAAAATGTCTAACAATTACAACATTACTGAACTCTACTTTGAGCAATAAGAATGTATAATTACTCTCTAAGCTCAACAGAAATATCGTGATGAAATCGATCATAAACGAAAATGACATGTTCTTGATTAATTAACCATAGCTAAAGATCGGAAGATCATGAAGAATTGAAATTAAGTTAATATATATATATATTATTCCAGAATCATTTTCCAATTTATTCACGATGATCTTCGCTCTCTATAACGTCCTAACTTTCTGTCCTGGAGAAGCAAGGTGTTTCACAGGTTTCACATACGATTTTATTTTCAAGTATTTTTCACTTCTCTCTGAACTGTCATAGCTGAAACTCCTCTCCCAAGTGCCAAACGTCTTATAGGTTGAGTTGGTTCTTTTCTAATTGATCCCTTTAGCTCTAAATTGAAATTATGATCCCTCTTCTGTTGTAACCTCCTGATCCAGTTTTCTTCTCTACTGTCCCGTCTTTATTAAACTTCACCATTCTCTTGATGGTTCTTGAATGGACTTTGAAGATGGAAGCCAGAGTATGGATATTGTTACCATTACTGAAGGCCTGAATCATCTTTTTCCTCTCATCATTGCTCACTTGGTAAGACAGTGGATCTGACACAAAACAACATTGACCTGCTCTATTTTTAGCTGAATAGCTCAAAGGACTTTTTAGTGATTCTTACGACAAATGGTGTGAACATGGATAAACGTCTTATCTAAAAAAACCTAGAAAAAAGAAACTCAATTAATCTAGTGATTTTTTTAGATATTAAACGTTTTTTGGGATGGATAATTATGCCGTTACACGATTTGGACAATTTTGCTGTTACACCCGGTATATACGATACATTGCAGACAATACCAGGTAAATGGTTAGCACATTGTACTGGTCCGGAAAATAGCCGACTCCTCCTGATATGCTTTATTTTTACAAGAGTCAGAATGGAATATTGCTGCCATGTCTCGGCTGGAACTACCCGATTCTCACCTTTTAAACTTGACAGAGTTCAAAATCCTTTAATCTGCCATGTAGGGGATGATTTCAGTAACTAGATCGGTGACCGCTTCAGAATACCAGGTGTTGTAATATTGGATGTGCGGGTGGTGTAATGGATAATGACTCGGAATTGTTAATCGGAGAGCAGAGTTCCAGTTCCAACTGGGTTCGCTATATTACGCGCAAAAAACTTTGGGAAAGGCATGAATCAGTCTCTTCTCAAGCTATGTGTTAATTAGTAAGACGTTGGAGTAATGGGTAGCTGCTCGGATTGAGGAATAGGAGATCCTAGTTCAAATACTAGTAAAATCCCTTACATTCACTTAGGTGCTATTACCCTTGGGAAAGGTATGATTCCTCTTCTTCTCCCCCACCAGCTATGGTTAAATAGCATGACACTTTGTGGGATGGATAATTATGCCGTTACACGATTTGGACAATTTTGCTGTTACACCCGGTATATACGATACATTGCAGAAGATACCAGGTAAATGGTTAGCACATTGTACTGGTCCGGAAAATAGCCGACTCCTCCTGACATGCTTTATTTTTACAAGAGTCAGAATGGAATATTGCTGCCATGTCTCGGCTGGAACTACCCGATTCTCACCTTTTAAACTTGACAGAGTTCAAAATCCTTTACTTTGCCTTGTAGCGGATGATTTCTTAGTCACAGATGCAACGCTGTAAGCCGGTTGCCATCCTATTACTATTTCCACGGCAAATGTTAATTGGAGTTCAGAATGTTATCGTTAGGACATCTCCACGCTATATCCATGGAGTTGGATCACCCACATAACCTCCGTATTCCAACTGCACAGAGGAAGCTCCACCCAGACAACTTTTCTTTCACCAGAACTGCTAATTTGTGGAGAAAAAAAAAACAAACACACACACACACACACACGCCACACACACACACACACACACACACACACACACACACACACACACACACACGCCTGGATGTTTCCCCTGAACACTGCAATATTAACCTATTAAAGTCAAACTTCAATCGTTATCTATCCTCCTTATCCTCTTCCGTCTATCTCCTCTTGCATTCACATACCTCATTCAGTAACCTTATCTCATGAGTAGGTTTACTTTGAAATACCGGTTTTCATACGATCACCGAAGTTAAGCAACGTCAAGCCTGGTCAGTGCCTAGATGGGTGACCACTTCGGAATACCAGGTGCTGTAATATTGGATGTGCGGGTGGTGTAACGGATAAAGACTCGGAATTATTAATCGGAGAGCAGAGAATGAATCCTCTCCTTCTCCCCACCCAAGCTATGGTTAAATAGAATGGCAGAAAGGATTCTGAAGCCTTGGATGGCAACTGGTCCACCGCAGAAAGAAATCGCAACTTACTGCCGGAAAAAAAATCTGCCTTGTCAGTCATGCATTGAAAGATACATGATCGCCTAAACGTGTATCACGCATGGCACATGACTGATTGTATCACTAAATAAATAATATATCGAAAATTTCTTTCAATCTTCTATCAGTCTCTTCTCAAGCAATGTGTTAATTAGTAAGATGGTGGAGTAATGGGTAGCTGCTCGGATTGAGGAATGAAAGAGAGCCGAGTTCGAATTCCAGTCAAATCCATTGCATTCACTTACATGCTATTACTATTGGGGAAAGTATGTATCCTCCCCCCAGCTGTGGTTAAATAGCAGGACAGACAGGGTTCTGAAGCTTTGGATGGCAAGTGGTCCACCGCAGAAAGAAATCGCAACCTACTGCAAGGGGAAAAATCTGCCTCGTCAGTCATGCATCGAAAGATGCCTAAGCGTGTATCACATATGGGACATAACTGATTGTATCACTAAATCAATATTGTCTCCAGAATTTCTTACAATATACTATGGGAGGTTCTTGGTGAATTTTAGAAAAAAATAGCGTTAGAATTCGGTGTTCGAGTCATAATAAAGGGCTATGATTTAGGCGGTTTAGTTTATTATCACTAAACAATTTAGCCGTCAGTACACTTTTAAAATCTAACTTCAACGTATCAATCTACGACCCTCCATTTCTTCTGAAGAACTTTTGATTGCATAAAGCAAATTCATTCCTTTTCCCAATATTCTTCGAAGCAATTCAAACTACTCAGCTTTTCACCCAACTCTCTCTTCTTGGACAGCTTGCAGTAATATCCTAACCAATTGGAAATATTTCCCTCACAGCGGATATTATATTCTAAGCGTTGGGATCATTTGGACATTAATTCTCTGGCCTTTTACAACTTTCTTTGAAATAAAACACCGGAACCAGCTCCATGGCAGTCGGTTGTCTGCAGAAAATCTCTCCGTCTGTTAATTAGAGTTACACGAATTTATAAAATGGAGTTTTTAATATAGTGTCCGGAAATTGGAAATTGTCACAGTGGCTTGTTTGGTCATTTTAAGGAAATACTTGCAGGAAAATGAGGATAAATTCGATCAGGGATGCACGTTGGCGAATTGATTTGGCAGAGGGTTTGCATTTCTTCGATTTGAAGAGAAAATGGCAGCCATTTTGAATATCATAATGACTTCCGGTGTGAGTTACGTTATAGAATCCACCAGGAAAAGCATACTGTGGGTCATTCAATAATTTATTCTCACTATCTGGATTAATTCTTAAGGCAATCGTTATTTCTTTAAATACTTTTGTTCACTTAATACAAGGCCGAAGAGAGTTGCTGAATGAGGTTGTTGTAAGTGCGTAAAAGAAGTGCAGATTATGAGGATAGGTAGGATAGATAATGATTGACCCGAGACTTGAAGGGGTTAAGATCGTAGGTATCAAGCTAGGGGGGTTGAGAATAAGGTGTAATATGAACGTAAGAGAAGGCGGTAAAACGTTTCCATTATGAGTATGTTGTAACCTAGAAAGGGTTATTGAATGAGGAATAACCAAAAAGAAGGTTAAAAATGAAATGGTAATCTTTATAACATCAACAAAATATAATACTCACCAGCGGCGTGAAGTAGGTAAACCACTGTTAGTGGTGGACTACTTAGCATATTACCCCCACTTACAATAGTGCCCAACGTATTTATGAGGATTGGGACATTAGTGTTCATAGGTACGGTCCATAACAGAGTATATGTCGGGAAGGTAACGGTTGATCCTAAACTTGAAGATTGGATCAATTAGGGAAGCATTCTTTCAGGAATATGTTCCACTAAGTAGTGGTCCTTGTGAAGAATCTATCCGAATGGAACCTTCTTCTTATTAATGATATGCGAAGGAAATGGGGACGATTAGTCCCAAGGTGCGTAATACGATGGATCTTTGCTGTAAAGGTCTGAGCTAGTGGAAGTTTTTTTTTCTTTTTTTACACAGGGTGATAGATTTAGGGGAGTTGCTGTCTAAATGCAAATTCCTCCTTACTAATGCAATATGTTGGCATTGTGCCAAATGATGGATTTGGTTTCTTCTAGTTTTTAAAAATGTTTATAAGATTTGTTTGCTTGTTAACCTCTAGGAAAAAATCAAACTTGGAAATGCTATTTTTTATGCGTGGTTGATTTTCCGAATATTCGAAGAGTGACATGACACTTATTTCTTTAACAGCTACTGCATTTCTGTTCTTATAAAATCCGTAATATCTGTATGGTATAAATAATGATAATTCGTCATTTACCTTTTAATCCACCTCATTCAATTGATAATAAAGAATTTAATTTTCCGCCTTAAAAAAAACCCATATTAATGAATGTTAATGAATGACATGAAGGTTAAAGAATGATATGAATGGTAATGAATGTTACTGAATGTTAATGAATGACAGTAATGTTAAGGAATGCTGAATGATATTAATGTTAACGAATGACATGAAGGTTAAAGAATGATATGAATGGTAATGAATGTTACTGGATGTTAATGAATGACAGTAATGTTAAGGAATGCTGAATGATAGTAATGTTAATGAATGACATGAAGGTTAAAGAATGATATGAATGGTAATGAATGTTACTGAATGTTAATGAATAACAGTAATGTTAAGGAATGCTGAATGATATTAATGTTAATGAATGACATGAAGGTTAAAGAATGATATGAATGGTAATGAATGGTACTGAATGTTAATGAATGACAGTAATGTTAAGGAATGCTGAATGATATTAATGTTAATGAATGACATGAAGGTTAAAGAATGATATGAATGGTAATGAATGTTACTAAATGTTAATGGATGACAGTAATGTTAAGGAATGCTGAATGATATTAATGTTAATAAATGACATGAAGGTTAAAGAATGATATGAATGGTAATGAATGTTACTGAATGTTAATGAATGACAGTAATGTTAAGGAATGCTGAATGATATTAATGTTAATGAATGACATGAAGGTTAAAGAATGATATGAATGGTAATGAATGTTACTGAATGTTAATGAATAACAGTAATGTTAAGGAATGCTGAATGATATTAATGTTAATAAATGACATGAAGGTTAAAGAATGATATGAATGGTAATAAATGTTACTGAATGTTAATGAATGACAGTAATGTTAAGGAATGCTGAATGATATTAATGTTAATGAATGACATGAAGGTTAAAGAATGATATGAATGGTAATGAATGTTACTGAATGTTAATGAATGACAGTAATGTTAAGGAATGCTGAATGATATTAATGTTAATGAATGACATGAAGGTTAAAGAATATGAATGGTAATGAATGGTACTGAATGTTAATGAATTACAGTAATGTTAATGAATTACAGTAATGTTAAGGAATGCTGAATGATATTCATGTGAATGAATGACATAAAGGTTAAAGAATGATATGAATGGTAATGAATGTTACTCAATGTTAATGAATGACAGTAATGTTAAGGAATGCTGAATGATATTAATGTTAATGAATGACATGAAGGTTAAAGAATGATATGAATGGTAATGAATGTTACTGGATGTTAATGAATGACAGTAATGTTAAGGAATGCTGAATGATATTAATGTTAATAAATGACATGAAGGTTAAAGAATGATATGAATGGTAATGAATGTTACTGAATGTTAATGAATTACAGTAATGTTAAGGAATGCTGAATGATATTATTGTTAATGAATGACATGAAGGTTAAAGAATGATATGAATGGTAATAAATGTTACTGATGTTAATGAATGACAGTAATGTTAAGGAATGCTGAATGATATTAATGTTAATAAATGACATGAAGGTTAAAGAATGATATGAATGGTAATGAATGTTACTGAATGTTAATGAATGACAGTAATGTTAAGGAATGCTGAATGATATTAATGTTAATGAATGACATGAAGGTTAAAGAATGATATGAATGGTAATGAATGTTACTGAATGTCAATGAAGGACGTTAATGCTAATTAATGATAAAGAGGAAAAAATCTATGTGACGCGTTTAGTCCTTCAAAAGGACTTCATCATACTAAAGAATGTTTTGATTCGTTAAAAGCAGGAATCATTCGAGAATGTAAATTCTCAATTTTTTCAAACTTTTACCAAGTTACCTAAAGTCTGCTCCAAATCGTAAAATAAAAAATGCAATAAAACTGTCTAATTATTTAATTAAATAAGCTTTTAATTGCTTTTATAAATAATATATATTAAGGATATTATGGCTGAACAATTTTTTTTCGATAAATAATGGTTTTTTACAAGAATTATTTGCATTTTTCTTTTTTTAATTATAAAGATTCAAAAATGTTTTAAAATTCTTCCAAAAGTCCTCAGAGTTAGGTTATTAAATAAAGACTATATTTACAAATCGAAAAATGAAAAGCTTAATACAAATCTTCCCACCAAAATTTTTTTACAATAATTAAAAATAAATTTTGGTTATGTGCCTAAATGGTCTTTTATTTAAGTATGGTGTTTCATACGTAACATGATTGTTAAAAGCCATGTTTTTCAATGGTTGTACCCTTTACACTTTAACCTTTTAGTTTTACTTAGTTAAGAAAAATAATTTGTTTTTATTTAGTTTTTTAATATTTTTAAAGTTTCTTTATTCTTTTTTGTGAGTTATATTTTGATAAAAAATGGTTGAAAGGTAACCCTTTATTTTATTTTAAACCTAATCTTTAGTTTAATTATTTTCATACTTTATTTTATTTACATTCATTGAAATGTTTTTTCATGGATGGAATCAGATATATAATGGTAACGATAATGTTAATGAATGAAATTAATGGATAAATTTTAATGAATGGTGTGA